CTAACCACTCGGCTACACTGCCACGAGTACCCTTGAGTCACAGAGCATAAGTGAGTTTCAAGGACGGTCAAGCCTCTGCTAGATCATATTCTTTTGTGGAAAAATTCTACTACCAGTCCTTCATCATCTTAGACGAAATAGGGTGAATACATCTCATTATGAAAATCAGGTTACGAAACCATTTGTCCTAACCTTTCAGTCGAGGTTCATTAACGTTCAACTTCCCAAGGAAAGGCAAGAATGGGATCGCGTAATCACCCTAACTATGTTCTCTCAGGAGATTCATCAAAACCAACTTTATCTTAGTGTATATACCACTTTTTAGGGATTTGCCGGTGAGTTTTCTTGACTCGTTTACTTGATTTTTGTCGTGACAATGATACCCTTGATGCTCTGATGATGTTCGTCACATGACGGAGATTGCCTCAGAAACAGCGTCAGCATGAATGTTCCAGTAAAGCCAATCGACAGCTGGTCAAGAGGAATCCGCCGTTGGCTTGCTTATCAATTTTGTATATAAATAGAGTTTTGAGACTACCAGTAAATCAGTAGTATGAGATCTATTCACCCAATTTCGTTTAAGGACTGGTAGAAGAGGAATTTTCCCACAATCATATGATTTGAGCTGACGTTTCTATTAAATTTCACATAGCCTGACTTTCCCAAAATCAGTCCACTCTGGATGAGGACAACTTTATGAAAAGCCAGGCTATGTGAAATTGAATGAAAACGTCAGCTCAACTCATATCATTGTGGGAAAATTCTTCTTCATCAGATTAAACGAAATTGCGTGAATACATCTCATATTACAAAATGGGTAGATACGAAGACCAAGATGTGATGGCCTCTCTTTTGGTCACAATCTCCTTTCTGTGTATAGCAGTCATGTGACGTTGTTTTCGCAATTTGTTCATATTGGCAAGAAGATCTGGAGGAGGCCACAGTATGCATGATTATGTCCACAGTCGAACTGTGGACTTGGCACATTCGTAGACATTGTGCCAGCATCGTCAGTGAGAAGCGCCATCCTGTGTTGCACACATTTCTCTCAACCCCTATTCATATCTCCCATTTGCCTACTCACACCATTCGGTGCTCCCGTTTCCTACAATGTCGCCTAACAGTGTGTTGTTTCAAGTGGATTTAGCCAAGCATAGTCACCTTCACCACCGATTTTATATGCCGTTTCCAAGGCTTCTTGGTCATGACTTGCGACTTTTATTTAGCCCCTCTCCATCTCGCTTGTCACTTGTTCTCTGCCGCACATGCAAATCATTGTTTGCTTGTTTCGTCTTTTACGTAAGCTTTCGAGACCGATAGTAGACAATTTATATGAAATGTATTCATTTTATTTCGTATTTGAAAGGAGGACTGGCAGTTGATTTTCCCACAATCCGATGAATACACCTTACATTTCCATTAAATTTCACATGACCATGCATTGCCAAAAGGAGTCCTAATCCAAGCAGAAATGGACTGTTAATCACTACGCCAGACGGCCACGAGTCAGAGGGCAGATGTGAATTTCGACAAAGGCCATGCATTTTTATATCACATTCTGTAGTGGGATTGTAATGCAGCAAAGTTATATTTGCTAAAGCAATCAACTACATTACTTATTTTTCGTTTGTAAGTAGGGTTTCAAGACTCCCAGTAAAGCATATACATTATATGTGTTTACTCTATTTCATTTAAGGTGTGTGTGTTTATGAGAACTAGGCGAGGTCGAAGCTGAGGCTCACTTCAGTCGGGAGGAAAATACGTTTTTTGGGAAAGCAAGAATATGTGAAATTCAATGAAAGCGTAAGATCTACTCATCTGATTGTGGAAAAAATTCAACCAGCAGTCCCTTATCACCTCAAAACTAATAGAGTAAGCACATCTTATAAATCACTGTCTGGCTGCACAAGAAACTTCCGATTCCATCACCGTTTATGTCATATTCGAGGATTGAAAACCGGTTATCCTCATGTTTAGGCACCTTCGTCTCAGTGGTCTTTAGACCCACGACTCAGTTATCTTCTTTCCCATCCACAACCAATTCTCCCTCATTCTCTGGGGTGCAATGTCTGGCTTTTATTCTGAACACAAAGAAGTGAAAAGGGACCTTTG